AGGTTCATTGATTTTTATGCAGTGAAACAGCTATCCCTTATCCTTCCACAGGCATATGAACCCTTTGCATTCTATACATGTTTAATTCGGGTGAATCCATGTATCAAAAGCTTCACATGCAAGTAAAACAAACTAGCATGTTGAGATACCCAGAAAAATAGAAAAACATTCTTTGGGAGCGCACGCGCGCACACATAGACATATACATATACATACATACACACATGCATCAAATAACATTGCTTAGTTTTTTTAGCACCGCAAAGCATAGGCAGAAAACTTTTCAAACACTATCATTGTTAATTAGTGAAACAAAAAATACCCATACCCCCTAATATACAGATTATACAGAACATTTTCTCACATTTTTTAACAATAATAGCATATTAGATCAAAAAAAGTTGACTATCTGGTACAAAAATAAATATACATTTTAAAATTTATTATATATATTATCATTATAATATGAGTTGGTGTTTTAAAATTTATATTTATTTTTGTACCAGATAGTCAACTTTTTTCGATCTAATATGCTATTATTGTTAAAAAATGTGAGAAAATGTTCTATATAATATGAGTTGGTGTTTTAAAATGCATATTTATTTTTGTACCAGATAGTCAACTTTTTTCAATCTAATATGCTATTATTGTTAAAAAAATACCCCCAAATATACAAAATATATAGAACATTTTCTCACATTTTTTAACAATAATAGCATATTAGATCGAAAAAGTTGACTATCTGGTACAAAAATAAATATACATTTTAAAACACCAACTCATATTATAATGGTAATATATAAATAAATTTTAAAATGTATATTTGTTTTTGTACTAGATAGTCAACTTTTTTCGATCTAATATGCTATTATTGTTAAAAAATGTGAGAAAATGTTCTGTATAATCTGTATCTTTGGGGGGTATGGGTATTTTCATAATTTCTTAAGCAAATAAGAATTTGTAATTTCTTAAGGACATAAGATAAACACTAGTAGAAAACAGGACTGTCCAAACGGTTATTGGAACCGTTTGGACAAGTCAAAATAGCCCAAACGGTTCAAACTGTTTGAGATAATGAACCCAAACGGTTAAAACCGTTTGGGCTATTAAAAAATCCCAAACGGAAGTCCCAAACGGTTTAACCCGTTTGGAATATCTTAGCCAAACGGTTTTAACCGTTTGAAAGTTATTTTAGGTTTTTATACCCCGCCCTAAATTTTCACCCAGCGCCAAAAATTTCATCTCCAAAATTTCATCGCACCCACTCAAATCCGCCTCCACCTCCCTCATCTTCGCCCCCCCACCCCCACACACACGTACACACACACACACACAAAGATTTCCCTAAACCGCCGCACCTCCCAAAAATCTTCCCAACCCTCGAATCTACCCGTCGAAGTCCGACTGCGGCCGCCTGCCAACACACCTCCGCCTCATCTTCGTCGGGGGCTCCCTGATCATCTTCGCTGTGGGCCACTGTACCCCCTCCACCTCCCTCGTCTCCGTCGGGATCTCGCTCCTCCGCCCCCTCCTGTACCGCCTCCATCGATTCCACTGCATCCTCCTCCACCGCCTCATCCTCAGGTCACCCCATTCTCCTTGTTAAATTAGTATTATACAAAACCCTTAACCTAATTTATTTGACCATCTAACCCAAATTTCCCTATTTACAACAAATTGCATGAATTGCAACCGTTGCATTCTAACACTCGCAGCTGTTAAGTCTTTCTCTGTTTCTGAGGATTATTAATTCTTGAGATTTTTGTTCCTCTCTTTGTTCAGAGAATTTTGGTCACGGAACATGTGTGGGATTCTGGCGGTGCTGGGATGCTCTGATGATTTGCAGGCTAAGAGGCTCGAGTTCTCGAACTCTCGCGCAGGCAGTCATCTAACCCTAGCCCTCTGTTTTAGTTTCCTGATTAATTCTCAGCAAAATATAGTTGATGGTTGTCATAGTTGATATTAGCAGTAATTTTTTACTAATTTTGATTGCTAGCTATTAGGACATGATGTACAGAAAGATATTTTGAATTCGGTCCGTGTTTGAAAATCTTGGTTTTTGACCAATATGAGAGGTTAATGGGAGAATATTCTTTGAATTCTGGATGTTTTGGCCATTAGAATAGATTCTTTGAAGGGATAATTCATGATACTAATTGATGAGCTAATTTATCTTTTTAATTTCACTCTCATTTTTCTTAATGACTTATACATCATGACATTCTAACTATAACTAGAACACCTCTCATCATTTTCTTAGTGGGGGTGAGATAATCCCTTGAAAGTTAAATACCGCTCCTTCCAAGCGTCCAAGGCATGGGCTAGTAGTATATTGTGACTTGCACAATCACAATTGAAATTGGATAATTTTCATCATGGTAGGTCATTTTCAGTATAAGTCTCTTTTTTTGTGAGGTTGACGACGAAAAGTCCTTGATGGAGTTATTTCCTCCACAATGGTATGTGATATATATTCATTTGGGGTAAGAAACCTGTCTTTGAAGTTAAAAGCTAGAGTGAGGATGACTGGCATTTAATATTTTTATGCATATGCATGTTTCTTGCTGGTAATTACATATGTATGATTCCATTTAATATTTGTGAGGGTTTAATAGTATCATTAAGAAGATAAATGAGATGTGAGATGTGTCCAGATAATCAATTATGACAATAACTGACATGAATTTTCAGATATCTGCTGAGTACCAACTACCATCTCCCCTCGTTCCTATCCGTGATATTTCATTTCTGCTCTACTGCAAGAAACTGCCTTTGGAGAGAACTTAGTAGTTGTTGATGTTTCCTTGGACTTGTTACGGTCTGATCCAGCACCCAACCGATGCCAAAAAAGACCGTCAGGCTGTATAATCCAAGAAATAGAAGAGCAAACAATAAAGGTAAAATAAAACAAAAGTACATCAGGAATGTATTCTAAAGTTAAGCTACTTTTGAACATGAAAACATGTAATTTGGGTTGAGCATGTTGAAATCAATGTACAAGTCAGTTTTGTTCATGTCATGTACAATCCAATTGTCAATCTGGTATCGACTTTGGAGCAAGGCGTTGGTTGGCTATGTTGGGTCGACAATGTGATCACATTGCAAATGCGATGAACATCAATATTCCAAGGCGTTGGTTGGCTATGTTGGGTCGACAATGTGATCACATTGCAAATGCGATGAACATCAATATTCCATACTTCAGCGAGTTTGATGGTAAATACAAAAATTCATTTTTCTTCCTTTTTGTTCTTTATAAAAATGGTTATGTTCTTTTACTTTACAACATAAATGTTCCCTCATTTTTTACTTGTATCCTGAAGTTTAAATTGCCTATATTGACAGTGAGATAGCCCGTCTGAAAGAGAGAAACTTCCACCAGTAGTTCTGATACCCACATGCACAGAACCTGGCAATTACATTTCAATTCTCAAACAGGTAATATTCCACTCTATCTCTCAATTTCTCTCTTCTTTCAAAACTTCGGGCTCAAAAAGTTAGTTTTTCTCTCTCTGAATCATTGTGTTTATAGGCAAATGACAAGACTAAGCACAAGAAAAAGATGTTCATTCAAGAGAGCTGCTTTGACGATACCTGTTCATACTTGATCTATGCTCCTATTAGCAAGAGGTCTGTGAATGTGCGCATTCATGGTGGTGATCAAGAAAGGATACAATTTTTGCCTTCAGGGGTTACTATAGTCCCTGATGGGCCTACTAGATGACAAATGGCTCGCTTGTTACTGTTTCGATCCAGATATTGTCGGATTCCAATCCCCAAACTGATGTAAATCCCGGTTCTGTTGAGTTGGTGAATAAACTGTTATTATCTTATTGTCTGAAGTTAAAAGTAGTTTATGTTTGGACATTAGACTATGTTTTCTTGTTCTCAACGGTTCATGTTCCAGAACTATAAATGTCGCAATGAAATTGGAGTTTAGTTTGGTTGTTTTACTTTGTTTCTTCTTTACTTTCTGCAGTTTTGGTATTATTTCTGAGACATAATGGCAATTTTTAAGTGGATCATAAGTAGGAGCTGAATGGACATGTTTGTGATGAGAAGTCATCAACATTTGGGTTCAAGTTCTGCACCGGCAAAGCAAAGCCGTTGATTTGATGGAGCGCTGAACAGGCCAAACGGTTGAAACCGTTTGGCCAAACTTTGTCCAAACGGTTATAACCGTTTGGACAGAATTTTGTCCAAACGGTTTCAACCGTTTGGACATTTATTAAATCCCAAACGGTTACAACCGTTTGGGATTCTGTCCAAACGGTTGTAACCGTTTGGGATTTTTTTCCAAACGGTTACAACCGTTTGGGCGACCGTTGGGAAAAACTCATCCCCAACGACTTCAGCCCAAACGGTTATTTTTTTGGGCCAAACGGTTGTAACCGTTTGGGACAGCATTTGCCCAAACGGTTCCAACCGTTTGGACAGACCTGTTTTGTACTAGTGAAACCCTTAGTCCCGTAGCACATTTAAACAACTACAGTGGCAAGTTAATCAACTTGTTATAAGTTTAATAATACTTTTAAGATGAGACCATGAGAACGTGAGACATAGTTCAATGGCAAACCAGGTGAATACACCTCAACAAAGTACGCCTAAAAAGATCCTGACAAAATGGGATCTCTAAAAACCTCCAAGGTCAATAAAAGTTTAATATGTAAAATGAATGTTATATGGAACTCAACAAAAAAGAATTTGATGATTAACTTACACGAGGCCATACACGTTAAAAAGAACTCTCAAAGCCTCTATTTTGTTATTTAACCGGAAAAAAAATGAACTGAAGCTGAAAAGATCTAATACAGGTACGCGTTGCAAGGCGTTCTTAGCAATGGTGTTTAGTTGTTAACCTTTACAGCAGATGCCACTATGGTAAAGAGAAAAAAGATAAATACTTGTAAACTAATTTATAATCTTTAATACAAAACAATACTGCTATAAGCATAAAGTGACAAAAGGCAATTAAAACACAAAGTGCTCAGCTTTCTTACCTCAAATGCCTTGGCATATGAATTTATAAACAGTTGCGATTTTCCAGCTATTGTTCGAGCATGCAATCGCAAATATCGACTAATCTCCATCTATCACACAAAATAAAAGTATGAGCACAAGCGAACGAATACATTTGCAACAGATCTTAGCAGGTTTTCTATTGCCTACATCAATAGCACCACCACCAGCCACAACAGTCGAGTTCTTTAGAGCTCTTCTGACTATCATTATAGCATCATGAAGGCTCCTCTCAGCTTCTTCAATGAACTATAAAAAACAAAAATGGCTATTAGGTATAAACTACAGTAATCCTCAGCTGAGGAGAATCTTTCATAATGACAAACCTGATCTGCCCCACCACGGAGAACTATGGTTGCTGTCCGACCAGAAGGACAGCCACTAAATATGTTAAACCTCTCACTCCCTACTTGCTTTTCCTCAAACACATCACAGGACCCAAGAACCTTAACATGTTAAGCATAAAGCGGAAAATTAATTAAAGAGGCTTTACTTAAATTGTCTCAAACCAAGGAACTTGTTCACCAAGCATCCTACTTGAACTCATTATACAGCATTAAAGAGATGAATGAGAGGCAAGAAGCAAACCTCATGGATAATGTTGTTGACAGAAGTCTGCACAGTCCCACCTGTAGCAGCAGCAACCCTTTGCAGGTCCTCTTCTGCTACACGACCAGCACAAAACATATCACGATCTGCAAAATACTGAAAACAAAAAACCATTATGATTTTGGACATGTTAACTTATGCAGAAAGTTGAAATGTCCTACCTGCGTTGCAAGGTCACCAATTGCCAGTCGTGAGAGGACAATTTTTGCTCCACTCTTTACACACTTATCTAGCTTGTCATAGATGATATTCCACTCAGCATCAACTATTGATTGGTATTGCAGAGGATCTGATAATCTGCAAATAACATTTTAACATGTAACATTTTAACATGATCATAGGATGAATACAATGCCTGATCCTAAAGAAAAAAAAGATAGTGCACTTTTGCAGGAGATATACTGTTACCTGATCTCAGCATTTTCCTTCTCTGATTTCAACTCTAATTCAATGTTCAACAGAAGGATCTTAGGATTCAGAAACTTCTTTGGCTGCTGCTCAAAACCAGCATAAGAGAAGGTCTTTTTGAAGGCAACACCACTAACAAGAAATGAATCCCTCATATTACCCCCAGGTACCTGAGCAAAAAAACCAGTAACTTATACTACAAGAACCTCTATCATGCATCACCTCTTCACAGTTAATGTCTTCGAATTGAATTAACCAAGAAATTAACTTATAATATAATATTGTTGCAAGAGAAGAAAAACAGACTTCATAAGGAAGATAATAAGCAACAAAATAACACAATGATGAAACATACAACAGCAATGGTGATGCACTAATTCTTCACAATCATTGTTATCTGAGTTTTTAAAAAATCTCACATATCATATGATTGCAGAAAAGAAGAAAAATACTTTATAAATAAGAACAATTAAAAAATAACATAGCAATGGAATAGACAACAATCACTATGAAGAGAACTTCATCCATTGAAATTATCCTAAACAGGAAATTCTGAACCTAAGAAAGAAGGAAAATTTGATTTCTACATTGACTCTCCCAAATTCATAGCAAATGTTCCAAGCTCACGAATTCCCGTTATAAGAATTGACTAATTAAGTAAGACTGAGTAGTTAAAACTCATCCTGAAACTAGAATCAACAGAAAAATGATAAGAGAGCAAGGAAGTTTCTTAAGCACATTACAAACAAAACCTTAAGACATACAAATTTTAACATCCATTTAGATATACCATTCACGTTCTAAATTTAGTTAGCACACGCAGTATGTATGACTAATCACAGTCCACCAATGCGGAAAAAAATGACAAGCATGTTCATCAATATTAGACGAATATAACTTCAACCAAAGAGAGAAGGGCTTTGGTTAAACATTTTCAAAACCTAGAAACTAAAGTCTTAACCTCACTGAAGTATTGTCACTGAACTATAGATACTAGAAGAACTCAGAATAATACAAGCAACAATATCCCTGACTCTGTCATCCTTTTTCTCCCCCTATGTAGTAAATACTGTTACGGCAGAAACTTCTCACTTTCAAGAGGCAAGCCTGCTTTCCTTTAAAATATGTATGCTTCACAGTTTTGCTTACTTTATCCTTTAATTGACCTTCCAAATACATGACATTTCAGTTAAAGTCATTAAATAGTAATTACTTGCAGCATTCATTTTGGGCCCTTATCTCCAAGCATTTCATTATCTTTCTAAATATCCTTGCCAGCCTTCCATCAACTATTAATGAAATTATGCAAAATCCTGTGAAACTAATAGAAAATTCAAAACACAAAGGATTCACTCAGGCTATGTACAAAAATGAACAGAGAGATAAATCTACCAAAAGTTTAAAGACTTTAAGCCTTAACATGACAAATCAACTCACCAGACAAGAAGAAAGATAAAAAATAATAGCTCGATAACTCTAGCATTGGAGCTTCACTGGACAAAAGAAGCCATGTGAGCCATGCTTTAATATAACAATCAAATAATAGAACCTTATTATGATCAAGATCCAAATACATGAAGAAGACTGAAGCAGGACATATTGTCAATCAAATTATGTGACTAATCACAAAATATTAAACATCAGCAACCCTATTACCAAATTATTTTGTTCAAGAGTTTATTAAAGCGAAGCTACTTTAGTTTCCAAATGAGGTATAATCTTACATGATATATATTTTAACGATAAGTTCATGTCTGCTTTGGGTGTTCATATTTATTTGGGTGTTCACTGTTGCAAAAAGGTTTCACATTGTCTAAAAACTTAGAATAGAAGGAGCCAAGCCATTACGAATATTTCAACTGTTGACAGTGCCATTGACTCCTGACTCCGTGCTGGTGAACAAGAAAGTGAAGAACAATAAAAGAAATGATCAACATCATGTACGTTATAAACTTGAAAGATCACAATAAGTTCTTCTATTCACCCCAAGTGCCAGGTTGAAAAGCCATCAATTAAAAAAAACTAAAAGGCTCGTTATTACATGTTCTATGATATTAAACAAGTAAAATATATCAACAACCTGATTAACACACGCGCGCGCGCACACACACATACACACACACAAAATATGTATATGTACATGCATACATGGTCGCTGTACGTAGTGGGTCATCGTACGAATTCGGGTACGCAATTCGAGACTTTGAAATTTTGGATTCAACAAGGGGTAGCTTGCTTCGATACGCAAGTTCGATATAGGATACAATGTAATTTTTTTTCTGGGTACGCTTATTATTTTTCAAAGCGTATAGTAGGTAATCAGAAACTAAAAAACCAATTATGCATTTCAATATTTTTTCATACATAATACTTTAATACTTAATTTTTAAAATTTATGAATACATAAAACTTAAAATATTAAATATTGGACAGCCTCTTAATAATTTTTTTCTATTTTACAAANCTAACATCAAGTGCATCTTATGCTAATTCCGAGTTCAAACAATTCCATCTAAGCTCCTCCAACGTACTTGAAGAGTCCTCCAAGTTATCATTATTGGGATCCATATCCTATCCTTTATATGGATCAGCTTTGTAATCATCACAAAATCGTGACAAAAGGCGATGTTTGAATAGATGAATACTAACTTATCCGCCCTTCCACTATTCAATCCATTTCTTTTCACACTATGTATGTAGGAATAACTACTCCAATTTCTCTTAGCTGAAGAGCTACTAATAGGCCGAGACAAAATCTTCTTAGTAACATCAGTTAAAGAAATAGTGATCTACAAATTAGTTATTAACTTTGGATAACTTTCACTTACTGAAAGAATACTTTCAATAATAATATTATCGAAACGTATAAAAAAATCCAAGTGCATGTGCATAAAAACAGACTTGTAAATCAACTTTGGCCCCCTTATATTTAGTAAGGGGTAAGCTAATTTTGGGGAACCAATTCATGTATCAGAAGGAATCGGTTCGTAAATGTGCAGGGAATCAGTTCACATGAACTGTTCAACAGTTTGATGGGGGGTCTAAGGAATCGTGCAACTATGTGCATGACTTAGCTCCTTAGAAGAATCTGGAAGCAAATCCTTCCTAAATAAGTTGGATGACAGGAAAACCTAGTTGAGAATTCACTGAACTCAAATTCATCCACATGACTAGGTGTACCCAAGTTGCCCAGCTTAATGGCCTACACTATTGGTATAAAATGGAGACCTAGTTGAGAATTCAATTGACTCTTTTTTTGGGTCTACGCATCAAGCTAGTACAAATGGAGACCTAGATATTAAGTTGCTTAGCTTAATGGCCTACGATATTGCTTAATGGCCTACGATATTAAAGACCTATGCGACACTAATACAGGTGCGGTTGCGGACACATGACACTGCAAAATTATAAAAGTTAGGATATAGGGACATGGCTATATACATAAATATTAAAATTAACAATCAGCATGAGACCAGTATTGTTTTCAATTCACATGTTATGAGAACTAAAAAAATTATTATACCATTTTTATGTTTCTTTTATCGATTAGATTATAAATTGAAAAACTGCTTGTTTTTGAACTAAATAACCAAACGACCCTTTAAACTCATAGCAATGATCTAGGTACGTGCTAAAATGAACTTATTCCAAGTCCAATGAGTAGCATAACTTGAGGTGAAGTGTATGATATACATTCAAGAAGGGTATCATAAGTATTTTGAACTAAAACTTGTGTTATATAACTGAGAATGCATCTGAAAATATATGTATATATTCAAGATATAACCAAGGAATATCGAACACAGATACTGATACAATAGCCTAGGTGAAGTGTCTAGGTGGGTTGTTAAAGAACTACAAAAATTGTCACGGAAGCTTTTTAAAGATTGGATCATGAGTAAGTGGTTAGATTAAGAATTTATATGGCCAAAATAGCAAAACCATAGCTTTAAGCAACATGTTGTTTTCAATTGTCCATTTATTGTGTAGATGATGCATGAGCATAGAAATGATTGACTTATAGCATTTGGTCCTTTCAAATTCAAATGACTCTAAACGGTGGATCTTCCATTTGAATTGGCTAACATTGAATTTGAAAGGTGGGATCTTCCATTTATATAATAATGTACTATTTTCTATTACACTCGATTATATTAATTAATAGTCTTAAATATATTTTCAATATTGTGGTAGTTATAATATTAAATAATATTTTAGTGCTACAATACAAATAGTAATAATCTGCTATATATTAAAGTATGATATCATATATAATTATATAAATAATTAATATAATATAATATAATACATTAATTAATAATGTTAAACATATTAATAGTATATTACGGTTATTATAAATATTATACTTTAATAAGGAGCCATGTCATCAATTACCCCATCTAAATTATAGTAATTATCATAAAATATAACATTATACTTTAATAATAATATAATATTTTGAATTATATTATATTGAACAAAATAAAACATTATAATAGTTATATTTATATTAAATTAATTAAGTATTATATTATTTAAATATCATAATAAATATATAGTTCATATATTATATTAATTATTATATAATATACCATATTATCATAATATAATATATTATATTATATTAATAACATTAAACATAGTTACAATCTATGTTGCCTAGGTACGGGTGTAGGCATAAAAAATTGCCTATAGGTTCTCGCATATAGCTCGAGATAAAAAAAAGACGACAAATGTTATTATCCGAGTCAAGGAGGATTATCTGAGTCAAAGGAGATCATCTGATATTGTAGAGAAGCTAAAAAGCACACGAAATAAGTCAGCGAAGCGTACGAGTCTGTGAAACATGCTAAACGATAAAGGCACAACTCAACCAGGAGTTGTGCTTTATCCACAAAAGGGTGAAGTACCATGTGTGTCTCATCTACTCTATGAGTGTTTTGCCTATGGAAAGTTGTAGATCTCTTCATCAGCTTTCCAACGTATCTTAGATCATCTCATTCCGAGATCGGACGAGGGAGTTAGAGCCAAAATACCCGAGACAACACAAACTATCTCGGAAGTGCGAGACAGACTTCACTGTCTCGGAATGCGAGACAGTCATGACTGTCTCGCACCAAATCTGAAGAAGGTCAAAAGACAGATCTCTTCATCAGCTTTCCAACGCATCTTGGATCATCTCATTCCGAGATCGTACGAGGGAGTTAAAATACCCGAGACAACACAAACTGTCTCCGAAGTGCGAGACAGTCTTCACTGTCTCAGAATGCGAGACAGTCATGACTGTCTCGCACCAAATCTGAAGAAGGTCAAAAGACAAAAGTTGTAGATCTCTTCGTCAGCTTTTCAACGCATCTTGGATCATCTCATTCTGAGATCGTACGAGGGAGTTAGAGCCAAAATACCCGAGACAACACAAACTGTCTCGGAAGTGCGAGACAGACTTCACTGTCTCGGAATGCGAGACAGTCATGACTGTCTCGCACCAAATCTGAAGAAGGTCAAAAGACAAAAGTTGTAGATCTCTTCGTCAGCTTTCCAACGCATCTTGGATCATCTCATTCCGATATCAGACGAGGGAGTTAGAGCTAAAATACCCGAGATAGTACAAACTGTCTCAGAAGTGCGAGACAGACTTCACTGTCTCAGCCATAGAGTTGGTTACAACACGTTTTTTGATGGTTTTTTGGCTTCATAACTACTTGATATCAACCATAAACGTGGGGAGATGGTTACAAACTGAAAGGAGACCCACTAACATCATAAAAGGATGGTATTTAGGTAGTGGGACAATGGTTACAAAAGGAGACTGATTAGAGAGCATCCAAGGGGGCTGATTAGAGAGCATCCGATCGAGCATTTGATTAAGCAATTCAGAGCGGGGAGAGCATACAAAACAGTTCTTGGTGTGATTCCTTGAGATTCGAGCTTTGATTTGATCTTAAGAAGAACGATCGTCTTACTTTGATAAGATCTTCGTTTCAAATTCTCACTTCGATAAACGAAGGAAGAATCATTAAGCCCCCCTTCACGATCTGTCTCCCGGCACAGGCAAAGTCCCACAAAACAAGAATCGATAGACGATTTTTGTGTTATTTTCTCAAGAGTTGTAATTTTTATTTTGTTGTGTAAAAGAAGTCTTATAAAAAGACTATTTCTTTTGAATTTGTTGTAATCGACCGAAGATATAATGAATTCCATAACAAAACCAACTTTTGGCGAAAACAACGGGTACGGGTGCGGGTACGGGACATGACAAATTTGTAAAAAGTAGGGTACAGGGACACGGCTATATATATATATATAAAATAATTCAATTTAGATCAATATTGAATTAAATACCTATTATATTTTTATATTTTTTGTTATGTAAAGTGGAGATTATAAATAAGAAACTATAGTAATTAGTAACTATTTAAATAGATATCTTAACAATTGAATTAACTATATTAATTTGTAGATGAGTTTGCAAGAGGACATTTATGCAACAAAAGAAAATAGTAACTATAATAAAATATTTGTATTTGTTAAGGGGCTTGCTGCAAAAAAAGAATTGATGAGGAGTTTATGGAAATATTAGCACATAGTATATAAAGGAAAAAAAAAGATCAACTTCTCCCAGCCCTAATTCTTCCGCCGCCCTTTATCTCCTCTTCGTTCTCTCCCATTCGTTCTCTCCCAGCCCTAATTCTTCTGCCGCTCTTTATCTCCTATTCGTTCTCTCTCAAGAAAAAATGCATGATGGCTGGAAGAGGGTGCATAGAACAGCCCCAACTTTCGTCGTCGAGGAAAAAGGAGAAAAAGGAGAGGCGCTGATCTTGTCGTCGAGGAAAAAGGAGAAAAAGGAGAAACAACAAAAACAAAACCCTAAAAATCAAACCTGTCTTCGAGCAGAGGCGCTGATCTCGTCGTCGAGGCGCTGATTCATCGTCGAGGCGCTGATTCATCATCGAGGAGCTGATTTCGTCGTCAAGGCGCTGCAATTGACCCGACGCCTTAAGATCTAGAATCCGTCGTCGCTTCCGTTGATGAGTTATAAGTTTCGTAACTTTTTTTTTTCAAGTTCGCAACTTTTTTTCCCTCACTCTTGTGAAATCGTCGTGTCCCTGCCGTTTGGGTGCGAATCTGCACCCAAAACGTACCGGACACGGGGTACGGGACTTAGTTTGCCGTGTCGGGGTAACATAGGTTACAATTAATTAGTAATTATAATATAACATATTATATTTTAGTATAAAGGAAAATAATATATTATATTATAGTAACATACTAAATTATATACTAAACCAATTGGATAAATAAATTTAGACCTAATTGATAAATAAATATTATATTTTCATAAGGTTGGTCACATCATCAATTATCGCACATGAATCATCAAATCAAAACCTCAACTTGTCCCATTATACCAACTTGCCCCACTTTACCCTACTCAAAATATCCCGAAGGGATAAAATTGTTCAATTAGAACAATTTGCCAATTTGGCCCCAACTTGTCCTAACCAACCCCCCACTCATCCACCCCCAAAGTGCGTGTATTTAATATGTATAGAAAATTCTCGACCTTTTCTATTCAAATCACATGTTATGTCACTCAAATGGAAACTCAACCTTGTCTATTCAAATCACATGTTATATCACTCAAATGGAAAATTCTCTTTCAAAGTTGATTCGACACCATCATCATCTTCAAGCAAAAAAGTAAGATCCCTCCCCCCTTATTTAGATGTATGGACTCACGTATAAACATTAATTCAGATGTACATCATGATCTAACCACTGTGACCTCCCTTCATCACTTCCTCCCCAGTCTTCCACCCCCACCCCCTTCCTTCTCTTTCTTTTCTCCCATTCTCTCTCGCTCTCTCTCTGTCTCCCTCCTCCCTCCCCCTCTCTTGGAAAAAGCCTAAGGATTTTATTGTCATGACAAAAAGTTAACAAGCTAAACCACATTGATTAAAAGAATATGACTCATCACATGACTCATACCAAGTATCTCACATAACTTCCATTTTCAAAAGTTATGGACACCAAATTGAATGATGTATGAACACTTCTGATTTTCAATCGAACATTTTTTTTTGTCCAATACATCCTTCTGGAATAGAATTTTTTTATTGAAAATGTAAAATACTTCATGTTTACTTCTAAATAACATGTGATTTGCACATGGCCAAAGATTTTTAGAAGGCATTACTGAAAAGCTTGCTGAGTTAATACAACATGAAACGGGATAAATATGTTACTTCCAAACAGGAAAGCATAGTAGAGATAAGGTTGCGCCCAAATCTCCAGTGCGGAAGACATCAACAGTAACTTAATTAATAGACCAACAGTGACACGCTTTACATTTTGAACATTCAATATATATTCACATTAAACACCACCTTAAGTAGATGCTGAAATTCAGTGTAGTCACTGTAGTGCGCTTGCAGTTGATAGCATTCACTAAATCAACTTAATAAGAATTAAATGATTATGAAAATATCAAACATAAACTACATACGGGAGAAAAATATTAAGCAAAGATGAGAATAACCTTTTTAATCCCAAGTAAATTTAATCTATCATCTGTTCCAATAGCAAGGACAGCATCCACAACCATAGCAGCAAAAAATTCCTTCTCACCACCTATTAGTTTTGATGATAGTGTCGTAGCAGCACATTTTGCCAGTAAAGACTTCTTTTCATCAAGGCTCTTCCCTTCTATGCTTACTGTCAGTTCTTTAACTTTGCTGATGGCCTGTTATACATGCATCTTGTTATCAGTTCATAGAACAAGCAATTGCAGTGCCCAGAACTTTGCTGATGGCCTGATATGCATACAGGGTAGTATGTTCATTGCTCACCAAGTTGCCTGCCACACGATAACTTCTAATAAGATTTTGAGGATGGACTCCGTCCTCAATGAAAGGTTTTGCCTCTTTCAAGAATTCACCTGCAAGAAGCACTACTGTAGTGGTTCCATCACCAACCTGGAACATTGCAAAATTTAGCTGTCACTAAAATTTCAAAGATATCCAAGTGGATTTGTTACAAGTGCTGATTTAAAATCGATAACTGCACAGAGAAAAGGAGCATGTTTGTGGAAGCTTTCTCAAGTACAATCGAGAGACAGGCTTTTGACAAAGTATGCAACGGATATTTTAGCAATGACCTTAGCAGATTGTAAATCACATTAAATTTGAGAAGTATTCATTTCCAACTAGTAAATGGGAAGTAATTTAAGTTAAAAGAACAAAGACAACAAACACAAAGGACAGATCAGATATGTAGTGACCTTCCTACAAGAGATATGTGCTCTGATTCACATTGTATCTTCAAAGATACCAGACAATGACAATTCATGTCAACGTCTGCTCAGACTATGGTAGCCCATACCATGCAACCAAGACACATAATGCTTTAGCCTTTAATGCTCAAGTAGAAAAGCATTACAAGTGAAAATATAGTAGCACTATCAATAACAATAATGATTACATAAAAAATCAAGGATATTAAGTTCCCAAACCTTTAGTTTGTTTTTTTTAATCCCTCAAGCAAAAACAACAACATATAGACCACATTATAGTTTATACACATGACATTTGAGGAAAAATAGTAAACTCTGGATTCAAAACGCAAAATCCAAAACAACCAGAGACCAATAGAAATATCAAACAGAAACATGGATTTAAACAATTTAACCAAAATGAAGCTCCACATAAGAAAGAGTTCACATTTATACAACATTTTAGTGACATACTCAGGCACTTAAATTTGATTCATATAAACAAATGTTATGTCTCTGCCCGCACAAGTGGATCTGATTCTTTTAATTGTTTTGTATATTTGATTTTTTTTTTTTTTTGTTCTCTTCTGGTGTCTTTTTTATTATGTACGTGCTTCAAAATTGATTTGCATTTAATATTTGTTCTCCAGGTAGTTGCTCCTTCTTCTTCTTTTTTGTCTGCTATACACTCCACTTTAAACCCCCTACTGTTTCGAACATACGTGTGTGAAAAAAAGAGAGTGTTGAATTTGAAATTCAATATTAGATAACTTGAGTTGGAATTTTCTTTTTTATGAAGGAAATACAAAATAAGAGTGTGGATGACTTTTAATTCAAAATTGAAATTTTAAATTAGATCGCTTAATTACCAATCGCTTCTTATCCATATCTCTCCTATATATTTTAAAATCAACAAAAAAGAAAATAAAGAAAAATTTAGCACAATGAGTAAGCATGCAGATAGTTTTTATTTTAAATTTTAAAATTCAAAACTAGAGCCACGTGCTAGATTTTTAGATGTATGGCTAAGACTAAACCACAATTATTGTTTTGATATATAAATGTGGTATTTAAACCAGTATCTTTGAAACTCTCACTAAACCCTTAATAACTTTTGGCGTAAAATTTCCATAATGTTTGTTTATAATTTTTAGTTTTTCAGTGAACTGTCTATAATTTTCAAAAATTTTAGGAGGCTGCTTGCAAGTTTTAGACTTCAAAGGGGGCTGCTTGCAAGTTTTAGACTTCAAAGGGGGTTGTTTATAATTTTTTAATTTTTCAAGGGTTGTTTCTAAGTCTTGGAATTTTTTGAGGGTTTTTTGTAAATTTTTGAATTTTAACAGTCTGTTTATATTCCCAAATTTTTCAAAGGATTGCTTGCAGTTTCATATTTTTTAAGGGGTTGTTTCTAAATTTTGGATTTTTTGTATTTTTTCCATATTTTTCAAGGGTTTATTTGTAATTTATAGATTTTTTAGGGGGCTATTTAAGATTTTCGGATTTAAAGGGGTTCCTTGTAGTTTTTCACTTTTTGGGACTGTTGTTTGTACTTTTTTAATTTTTCAGGGTGTTTTTATTTGATGAGGATTAGAAATATAGTTATTAGATTTTTAAATTATGGATAATTTACAATTTGATCAAGAAAAAAAAATCAAAGACTTCTACTTCCGCTACCTCAGAATCTTGCGACTTGGCGATATCAACAAGAATCCTAGCAGCAGGATGAACGACATCGAGAAGCTTCATGATCGTTGCCCCATCGTTGGAGATCGTGGTGCTCCCCTTGTCGTCATGGACGAGCTTGTCCATTCCTCGTGGTCCTAGGGTCGTACGGACGGCGCCG